GGTTGCTATCATCATTCTTATAATTACGTAAAACAAAACTAAGGCGTTACAAACTGCGAAAATAAATAAATATAAATGGTAATTGTGAAATATTGTTTGCTAATTTTGTCATTCCCTTTTAAGATATGTTTCTAAACACCACACTAATTTTCTAAAGTAACGTATATTCTTTTTAGGAAAAAAATCCCCCCAAAAATATGCAAATATCTATAGTTGACCTTATTTTCTCCAATTTAATTTAAGCTATATCAGTAATGAAAAAAAAACAATTAAATAATAAAAATCGTTAGTGGCGACGAAATTGACTGACCTTGCTTGGAATCCTCCGGCGGTAAAACGGCGACGTTTCGCGAATATCATCGTCAACGTAAGACAAGTTACTTGTATGAATGTAAACGGAGAAAAGGCCTTGATGGCCATTGAAAAACCTCTCCCAGAGTTTAGCCAAAGGAAGCTTCCCTCTCGTCAAGAACATAAACGCCACTTTCTTCTCCTTCCTCAACGGTGTTTCTTGAACCTTGGACGCACGCCGCATGAGTTCTTCCTCCCTCGTCATGTTGTTATGATGCATCGTCACCTTCTCAGGGTCCACTAGAGAATGACCCTTTTGCCCTTCAGGAACAACCGTTTCGTTAGCTATAGCTAAAATTTCCGGCTGAAGCTGTGGAGAGAGGGAAAAGAGTTGAGGGCTGAAAGAAACGTTTCTCATGTGGACGTTGAGTAGGAAGCCGAGACCGAACCCGAAACCGATGAGAAATGAATATAACACGAGGTGTTTGAAGAACCAACGTGATTTGAACATCATTGATATGAAGATTTGGTGAAGATGATGACGGCTCTCTTGTTGAAGAGATTCTTCTTGTCTCTTCATCTTCGTTATTATTTTGATGTCTATGGGTCTAAAGAAAGTTATATATAGTGAAGAAGAATCTGTAAAAATGACTTTTCGTAATTGTTTTTTTTTTTTTTTTTGGAGTATCTCTATAATCACACGGGCTTGGGATTTGCTGGAAACATTGAATTGTCTATACAGGGTTTTAGGGGTTGAGTTAATTTTTGATTGGTCCACGAATTGGGTTTTATGTGGACACGTTAACTTGGATTGTGACAATAAAGCTGAAGTAAGGCTTGGGTTAAGGACTAGTAGCGTCACCTATCTGTTATAAACTAATACAGTGTTCTTTAAAAAACTTTTATATTACCTTAAGAAGTTACAGCTTAAAACAAAACGAATCAGACATACTACAAACAGGGGAATGTGTTTGGCCAGGGCCGGCCCTGGGGCATGCCTAATGAAACATTTGTTTCAGGCCCCCGAAAATTTTGAAGAAAATTACATAAGTATAGGCCCCCAAAAAAACTTTTTAGGCCCCCAAAAAAAATTTTTACATAGAAACCGTCACAGGCCCCCAAAATCTCAGGGCCGGCCCTGTGTTTGGCTGAACAAAATTATTGAGTTTCTAGCAAATCCTTTTTTCTACAATCTCGGGAAGAATGTGAACTAAAAAATTATATCAAGACGATTCAAGACTTAACGCGTTTAACATGATATCAAGTCTCTCCCTTGAACTGATGATGGCTACTACATCTTCGGTAGAATGAGATGCTATAAACAAGTTTACGCCTATGTTGTTTTTCAAAACCCAGCGACAATGTCATGGATTGTATCTTCCCATCATTCATTCCCTTCAACCTAAAATCCATAACAAACACCAACGTTACTTTTCCATTAGAGTTTGTATCACTCACCTGAATATAAAGTTACATCAAAAGCTAATGCTACAAGAGTAATGGTAACAAAAACAACAATAACAAAAACAAAAACTGATTAAAACTGTGAGCAATATAAGAGGATTTATTGACCTCTTGACAGAGTTCCAAGGCAAGGCGGCCACCAATAGCTGCTTCTTCGTGGTTATCTTTAACCTCCAAGTTCATCACAAGTATGGTTTTCATAAATGGCTGTTCTCTGTTATTAAGATCTGCAGATTTGTAAAATAAATATCCAAGTCCTTGAGATAAAGATACAGTAGGACACACAAAGACTGTGTAAATTAATTTCACACGACAAGAAAACTCCATCAAACCATGACTAAAATCGCTTATCAGCTAATGACTAATAATAAATCGTGACAGAATCAAGAAATTAAAAAAATAAAACAAAATTCATATTACCTTCAAGAACAGAATCAAAAACCTTTTCTTCAAAAGTCATAACAACATCAACCACACCACCATCACAATTCACAAGCATTATCTTGCCATCTCTGAGGAGCAAGTTTCACAGATAAGTTCCTCTTAAGCATCTGCAATATACCATTCCGCTTGTAACTGAATAAACAGGTAAGTTTTTTTTTTTTTTTTTGAACAAAAAACAGGTAAGGTTATTAGTTACTACTAGTTATTACCAAGCTCAACGAGACAATGTTTTTAAGTACAAAAAAACAAAGAGCATCTTCATGTTTCAGAAATGGTATATGTGACTTAACTGGGTTGGGCTTGGGCCGAACTTTTGAAACAGATTTAAATTTTCTTCTTTTTGGGTTAAAATCAAAATTATTTTGGGTCTGAATATTCATTTATACTTTTTGGGTCTAATCCCGATTAATTTAAGGATTATGGTTTCCCTTCTATTTACACACATGACAAAAATTCCGATGCGGTCCAAGAGGAAATTTATTCTTTTTCTTTTATAAAAGCATCTCCAATAACAGAGATACTAGACCATGACCACCCGATCGGGCGGGTGTTTTGTTTTCTTTTAATTTTTAGGTTTATACTAAATGTTGTAAAATAAAAAATGAAATATCAATTAAATGGTTAAAAATTATTTATGAGTTTAATTGTGATAGAAGAATACCGAAAAGTTTGATGTTTGATCCGCGCAAGTGTTTATTTTTATATATTCTATAAGTTATAATATATATTTCTAAATTTACCCATTTAAATAATTGTTTAAAATGACATTTTAAACATACAATTTTATAGTTTATATTGAGTAATTTTATTATATCTTATAAACTATCATTGTGTCATACTTATTTAAAAATATGACCCGTATATCTGCACAAATGTTTTTATTTTATTTATATTGATCAATATTTTATGATAATATATAACTAAATTGTTTTATTTACTATTTAAAATATATGGTCCTACTTTTTAACTTTTATTATTCTGAATTTACCTTGAACTATTATTTATATAAAAATATACATAACATGATATGTTTATATTAATCTTTTTATTATATATTATATAAATGTTTCTTTTTGTGACTTTTATTTTAGTTATTACTTATAAATAATAAAAATATAATTATATATCTTTGAAAAAAATATTGTTCACTAACTATTTAAAGATATGTAGATAATTAATAAGAAAAAAATTCTAAAAGATAGGTTAATTAATATTGGAATTAATTATTATGTATATGGAATTAGTAAAACAATTTCTATATAATTTATTTATTTAATTACAAAAGGTATATATTAAAATAATTATTTTCATTAATTCTTATTGCCATAACTTTTTTAGTTAAAAGTTGATTTTAGAAATGCATTAATTAAAGTGAAAAGACAAAAAATCCTATAAGATAGGATAATTAATAACTTCAGTGGCATAACATTGTAAGTAATTAGAAAAACTCAGGAATATTTTATATGAGTACTTCTCTTTTAATAATATAGATTTAGAGAAAGAAGATTTGAATATTATTTAGTTATATATTTAATTGTTAGTTTAAAAAGAAAATTAACAATCCATAAATAATGTGTCTCTCTACAATTTTTTTTCTTTTTCGTAAAAAGAAGTTTCAAACTTTTTTTTTAGTTTATCCTGTTTTAATTTTGTTTATTTTAATTGTTTAGATATTTTATACAGAGACCGCCGATGAGGTGACCACAAGCCACGAGGAAAATTCTTACGTGAAAGATGTTTTGCTTTGTCCTTTCTGAGACTGTTATCTTCCAATCAATGAGGTCCGACTTGACTTTTGGATTCCTTATTAACTTTGACCACTTGACTTTGTCTTAAAATTCAGCTGTTATATTTCAAATAACATTTTCATTATTAGTTATCTTATCATTAATTTACCTTATTTTTCATACATATTCATCTCTTAAGCTATCTATAATCCACACTTAAATATCAGAGTCCTTCTTTTGGTCAAAAGCAAAAAATGCTTTCAACAACAACAACCATGAAAACAAATATGAAAACAGAAATTAATATAACGCGTATTTAGTAGTTATGTGACCATGCTGAGTAAACGATGTTGACCTGGCCAACGACTTGTTTACGCTGGCATTTATACGACTTTGTAGTTTGTACTTTGTACAAGTCACTCTGTTATACACCAAACAATCATAAACTTGGTTTTGAAATAATATCTCAATCCAACAAGCCACACACAACCTCCCTCACCATCTTCCACTACACGAAACCAAAGATGGTTCGCCGTATTTGCGGTGGCTTCATTGCGTTACTGAAGATGTGTGGTGGTCATAACGATTCTGGAGGAGATGAATCTGGTGACGACGGCGGTGGAGACCGTGGCATATTCTTTGATCTCCAAGAACTTGAAATCGCGACTGATTTATTCTCCGAGAAGAATCGGTTAGGACATGGTGGATTTGGTCCTGTCTACAAGGTAACGTATAAGACAGTTATGTTTTTTTTTTCTACTTTTAAAAGTGAAGTTTATTTGATAAGACGACATTGTAATGAATAGGGATTGATGCCAAGTGGTGAAGAAATAGCTGTGAAGAAGCTGTCGTTGAATTCGAGACAAGGGTCGAGAGAATTCATGAACGAGGTTAAGCTCTTGCTTCGTATTCAACACAAGAACTTGGTTTCGTTGCTTGGTTGTTGCTTCCACGGTTCGGAAAAGATGCTGGTTTATGAGTATCTCCCTAACCGGAGTCTTGACTATTTTCTCTTCGGTACATCTCTTAATTTTCAATATTCTAATCACCGGACAAACCAAATGTCAAACCGTACTAAATCATTGGTTCCGTTCTATTTGATTCCTTCAGTTCAGTGCGGTCTGGTTAAACCATTAATTTCTCTGTAATTACCAGATAAAATCAATCCCGGTTTACTTGATTGGTCCAATCGATGGCGAATAATTATGGGCGTGGCAAGAGGACTATTATATCTACACGAAGAAGCTCCGATTAGGATAATCCATAGAGACATAAAAGCCAGCAACATTCTTCTAGATAATGACTTGAACCCAAAAATCTCGGATTTCGGTTTAGCCCGGTTATTCCCAGGCGATGGCACTCATACTAATACATTTAGAATCTCTGGTACCTAGTGAGTACACCACAATCTATAGAAAAAATGTGAATGTTGCTATATGTATACATCATTAAGCGAGCTTATGTGAGTGTTCATGTGCAGTGGTTACATGGCTCCTGAATATGCCTTGCACGGGCTTTTATCGGTTAAATCAGATGTTTTCAGCTTTGGGGTCTTGGTTTTGGAGATAGTCAGCGGAAGAAAGAACCAAAATCCTCGTCTTGGACCAGAAATGTCGGATCTCTTGACCTATGTAAGTTCCATTCATACCATGAACCGGTTCAGTTTTGCATAACCTAGACAATATAACGAAGTTAGGTTATAATCTCATTATATAACACTAGGGGAATTAGGAATCAATCCTAATATCAATATATTATGTCCTTTTGGTCGGTAATCAGAACCATGAACTACTTAACCGGTCATTACTTCAAACCGGAGTTTATATATGTGTATATACAGACGTGGAAGATGTACCAAGAAGGCAAAATTTTGGAATTGGTGGATCAATCTCTAGCAGGAGTATACAACCGCGACGAAGCAGCCACATGTTTCATTATAGGGTTACTTTGCTGCCAGCAAATCACAACAAACAGACCGGATATGAACATGGTTCATCAAATGTTGTCAAGCGATTCATTTGATATGCCTAAACCGGGTCGTCCTGGACTCCAAGGTCGTAGAGGAGGCGGTTATCCAAGTAGCGGTACTGGTACTGGTTCAAAAAGTTTTGGATTAACCGGGAGCGAACCAAGCAGTTTTAAAAGTAGAAGAAGTGGAGGAGCGTCTGGAGCTAATAGCATCGTTGAGGAATACTCGAGGACTTCCATTTCCATGTCTTCCTTTGCCGAAGGAAGATGAATCTTAAATTTTGTAAATGCACCCTTGTTTACGTGTGTTACACGGTGTATATATTTACATAAGAAAGACTTATTATAAAGTTTATGGATCGCTATAAAGTTTTCGTTGAAACACTATACTATTAGTTTGCATAATGAGTCGTGTATTAATATTTAGTAATGGAGCTGTTTTAGACTAGCTAAAAGAAGTAATAAGATTTCTGTGAGTACCACAATTTCAACTTCCCAAAGAGGAATAGTTTGGCACTAATCTACTTAAAGGTATGGCTTTTATTATATTGTTTTGAGATGTATGATAAACAAGTAAGTCAAGTTTCAAAAGCAAACAAGCCTAACAACCTATAATTTGAAATTTCTAATCAATTTTTATTTTGTTTCAAAAAAAAAAAATCAATTTTTTATTCATACAAAGCCAAAACTTATCAAGACTTGTAGATGTGGTTTACCCTTTGTTGGTTTCTAATATTGGGTGTGACATATGTAGTTATGTATATTTCTGGCCCTAATAAAATAAAGACAATACACTAGCTTCAAATTCTGATGATTTTATAGTTTAATTTATAGTTGGACGAATGACAAAACTACATTACCAAGCCGAACAAAAATAGAGTCCAATATATATCAATGGTTCTCCTCAGCCCATCTTTAAGTATTAGTAGATATGTTATGTAGAAGTCTTATTGTGGTAGTATGCATCTTGCATTTGGTTTTTGTTTTCTTCAATATCATGTTGGATTTATATTTCATCAGTTGCGTGAAGTCTAAATTAATGTAGACGTTTGCTTTCGTTTAGTCGAACCCTTTTAGGAATAATTAAGGATACTAGTTAATCAAAATTCATTGAAGATCTTATAAAAGTAGGGTTCGTTGGCATTGGTCATAAGTTACCTTTGATTCTTTTCTTTTAATAAAAAAGGAAAAGACTCATTCTATTAATCTGGTACGTAAGTTAAAACAATTGGATTTAAGGAAGGTTTGGCAAACATGCATTCAAATCAATAACTGCTTAGTCTACTTTTTCCCTTACGTTATTGACATTTTTGACATGTCAGTTTGCTAGCTACACTAGCAAATAGCAATGCCCAAAGTCAAAACTACTAGATAGGAACCTAACTCCAAAGTAAGAATCCTGAAGAAAAAACGTGCCCGTTCAGCCGTTAGAAGAAACTAATTAACGTACGTAGCTAAACAGAAGACTTTGGAACTTAGATACAGTGACTAATCACAATAGTGAACACAAGCAGAGACTAACATAACTAGTTTAGTATCCATTACCAATTGAAATACAAATACTCTTGAGGTCTTAAGTTCTTCCCCCTTGAGAAGTTGCCTGAACAGAGTTCATGGGTCCCGTTACTAAACAGTGACCTACTTTCTCTATTTGGATATATCTCCAGATAAATAAAGAGACCCCACTTCATTACAAAACATCCCCATAACTCTCACTTTCATTGGCCTCCCTTTATTTTCTACTATTGTCTTTTTATTTGATATTTTTTACATCCACTATTATAAGTCCAATTTGGTTATTATTTTTAATTTTTTTTTAAAAAATCTAAGAAGGAAAAAAAACAGTGTCTATATATAAACGGAATTACTCGAATGAAACACCCACTCTTATATTTTTTTTAAAAAAAAAATTGGAAACTCAAGTATGGCGAATCTCTCTTCTGATCTTCAGACATACACAGTGGATGATCCCATAACTCAACTTGCAGAACTCAACAACACTCTTCATCAGTTCCAAACGATGTTTGCTCCTCCTTTCTCTTCTTCTCTCGACTCTCTTTTTTTTCATCGTCATCAACATCAACAACTACCAGATCATTTTCCTGGAAAATCTTCCGAGAATAACTTTCATCAAGGGGTTTCCATCCCTTTTAACTTTCACAACAACAACGACGAGTCTTCACTCGACAACAAGAAGAGAAAATCATTAATGGCGTCTGTGTCTACGTCAGAGAACAGTGTCTCTGATCAAACCTCTTCTGCTCAAGTTTCCATAAATGGAAATGTTGTCACCAAAAATGTATTTAATTAACCTCGAAACCCTAATTTCATATATCAACCATACTATCAATTTCCTTTGTTCTAACTTTTTTTTTGTTATTAACAAAATCACAGAGTTCTTCAAGGAGAGGGAAAAGGTCGAAGAATATAGAAGAGAAAGTGAGAGAAGTTGTTCATGTTAGAGCCAAAAGAGGTCAAGCCACTGATAGCCACAGCTTAGCAGAGCGGGTATTTAATTACATTATCAAATGTATTTTGATTAATTTCGATACTGTTAATAGTAAATTGTATATAATTAATGAAAAACTATGAATAATGAGAATTTATTGAATTTCAGGTTAGACGAGGGAAAATAAACGAGAGATTGAAATGCTTGCAAGATATAGTCCCCGGATGCTATAAGGTGGTTATGAGAAATTTAAACCAAACTATTTTAATTTGTTTAGACTATAAAAAATATTTTGTTTAACTTTTTACTGATTATATGTTTGTTGATACAGGCAATGGGAATGGCTACGATGCTGGACGAGATCATTAATTACGTCCAGTCATTGCAGAATCAAGTCGAGGTATAATGATAATGATAATGTTGATGAATTTTTTTACAGTTATCTTTTCTCCATTCGTTTAAATACCTACTAATGCGTGTTTTTATTCTTAATGTGAAATCAGTTTTTATCTATGAAGCTTACAGCAGCAAGTTCATACTATGACTTTAACTCAGAGGCTGATGCTATTGAATCCATGCAGGTACATAATCTCGAGTTTTTATCAAATTTGTCTAGTGAGTAACTTAATTTTTTTTATAGTATGTGGTTAACTATAGATTTAAAATGTATTTTAATATTTGAATAACTAATATTTGCAGAAGGCAAAGGCACGTGAGGCAGTAGAGATGGGGCAAGGGAGGGATGGGAATACTGTCTTCCATTCATCATCATGGACCCTTTGACTTTTGTTTTTTCTCTCCCTGTTTTGTTGTCTTTCTAATTTATCCTTTTTTGGATAAAAATACCTTATAAGATTGATTTCAATAATTTGGATGCAAATGATGATATATATGTATACTGTGTAATGTCGACATTATAAATTTATTAAGTAGAGCCTGCAATTCAATTAGATCGGACAGTGACATATGTTCGTTCTATGGAGATCTTTTCTGGTTTGTAACTTTGAACACTAACTTATACTACATATTCAAAAACTGTATATTTAGTTGTCATGTAATATATGGCTTTTACAATATATATCTGAAAAAAATCTAAACATTTAAAATGTTACATATTGTCTTTTGAGTGCAAAACTAAAATATATTTAAAAGATTGTAACTGCCATAAATATTAATCAGATCCAACCACACTATGGTTTTGCAGTAGGATTGGTTTATAAAGTGTTTTTAAAATAGTATATATCTCTTCTCAGCAATCACACTTTTAGAGAATGGGCATGGGTTATCAGTCAGTCATGATGACTCATGAGGAATGTTGTTTCGATATTGTTAGTTAAGTCGAAGTAGTTATAGTTAAGAATAATATCAGACATATCTAAAGTAGGGTTAGTTTAATACACAATATTAGATATGAATTGTTACTTTTTGAGTTGATTAAGTTAGTATGACATGAACGATGAACAATTTTTGAATTGATATGTCGTATAGAAGTATCTCACGCCAATACTTCATATCATCATATATATATACAAAAATACACTCTCTCACGAACTTTAAAATTTTCAAATTTTAATACTTCAAATTTTAAAAGTTAAGTTTCATACTTGTATGACAAAATTAATAATTTTACTTGTATCACCTTAGTCCATAGAGTTTATTATCTTATATATATATATATAATTTAATTTACACATAAGACTATATATACATTTTTGAAAGAAAATTTAATATGTTAATATACATAAATTTTACATAGTTTTGACAACGAATTTACACAAAATAATATTAGATAACTAAATTTAATACAAATAATATCTTGTAGTATATGTGTAATTAGTTGTTGTGTATTTGTTAATTATTATTCATATTATTTATATTTTAACTTAAAATTTATTAATTAATATTTATTTTAATATGTCTATAGTTTTTTCAAATTTTGTAAGTAAAAATAATTATAATTATAATTGAATGATTATAATGCAAAGTATAGTTTTGTTTTTTATTTAAAATTTTATCATTAGAGAAGAACACCTCAAAACATTGAATACGAAGTTGCGTAAACTTTAAAAATAAATCATGAGTTATAGATGCCCTACATAATGCTACATTTGTAAACCATTGCATTTGAAACAAATTGTATATCTTACATTTCATAATCGATATTTATTTTTTGTTGTTTCATGAATATTAAAGAATTTTAGCTCCTCTGTGCTCATATATATACCACTAATACTACTAGATATTTTTTTTGGCACCAACCACTATATATTAGACTATCTAGTAAATTTGTAATCTTTATCTTACCAATTAATTTGGAACTCTGTACAAGACTATCGAATTATCAGTTTTTTTTTAATTTAAGCAACTTATGAGTTTACAAACCGAAACATGGAACCTAATAAAAAATTACAGATAATGAAACAATAATGTGCAAAGTAATAAGCCATCGCCTGGGTGAATTCTTTGCCGTTCTAAAACAATCTATACTATTAAAGCTGAAGTACAAAAATTAAGTGTTTGGAAACATGAATAGTAAGTATTTAAAATTAAGATGATTAGAAACAAGGATAGCCTACAAATCAAATCAAAGTACCATTATTATTGTTTTTGGATTTTCTATCCTTGATATTATTTTATTTCTGAAAATTATGTATACATATATGTACTCGTGTTTTAAATATATGTGGAATAAATCAAAAATAATATATATTTTATTTTTATAATTTATATTGACTATTGTTAAAAGTTTTTAACAGTAATATACTAGCATTCCAATTATTCATTAAAAATGAACTTAAAATTTGACTAAATTGTTTAGTGTATATAATTTTTCACCAAATTTAGTCAAAAAAACTTTATAAAATATTACTAAAATATTTACGGGTCACAATATTTTACCGACGTCCTGTTACACAATTCAGTGATGAAATACAATGTTTAAACAATATACTATTACTTAGTAAAATTGGAACCGTAAGATTGTAATTTTTAAATTATTTATATATACCTTAAAAACAAAGACCCGCCCAGTCGGGCGGGTTATGATCTATTAGTCATTATAACTATAGTGTTAGGACTTCGGACAAATGAATAAAACAGAAACTGAACAAATGTACAGTAAAAATTAAGGGGAGCCCCTCCCCTTAAATCAGCTGTTTATTGACTTGGGGTCAAATAAAGACAAGCACAGATGATAAACTCGAACACCAACTGGACTTGGACGTGACGAATCTGACGATAAAACACTTGAACTGTTGTTATCGATAGAAAGACAAGATGTTGTGTGTTTCCGAAACGATACACAAAGACAAAGAGGTGTTTGATTAAGTTTGTGGAAGATTACGTGATTGTGGATTTTGAAGGAACGTGTTTAATCGTGGATCATCCAAAAGTATTTTCTTCCTTTTAATTTGTGGACTCTGTAATTATAGCAAGGTAGCTTTTAATTTTCATTGAAACAAATAATTCATAGAATCTGATGGATGTTCCCTATTCACCATTTGCATGATTGAGATGAACAGATTTTTAGATATTTATTACTCCCTCCGTTTCATATTAAGTGTCGTTGTAGAGAAATTTTTGCGTTACAAAATAAGTGTCGTTTTTGATTTTCAATACAAAATTTATTAATTTTAGGTGTAATTTGTTTTTCTATTGGTTAAAATATGGTTAGGTGTATGGGTAATTGTGTTTTTATATAAGAAATATGTAAAATTAATTATTTTCTTAATCCATGTTCACAGCTGTAGAGTGACACTTATAATGAAACAGAGGGAGTACTTTGAAGTACATCCGAATTTGTAAGCATCTACATTTTCTACTTGTGTTGTTGCTCTATAATAATCTGAGTTTAAATTTCAAAATGTAAAAGTGAGTTATAAATGAATAAGTATTTTTTCAACATTACCTTTAAATTAACATTTTCCGTTTTTTTATTGTTTGAAATTAAATATTATTTTGAAATTTTAATGTAAACTTTCTTAAATTTTAAGTGTAATTGGTGATTATTAAATATTTGAAATTAGTTGGAGTAGAGAAGATGAATATTTTTAGAGTAAATAGTTAATAAAAAATCTGGTTCAACATTTTTTCTCTTTACAGCTAAAAACAAAAAGAGACGACTATTCTTGAATAATTATTAATTACTGTAAAAATAAATAAAATATTTTGCACTTCACTGGTTTGATATTAGGTGACAAAAATTCAAATATTTACTCTTCAATTATATCGCTATTTCTAACAAACGTCACAATTTTTATATATTTATGATTATCCCTTGCAATTTTGTGTTCTGTGCTTTAGATAATGATGAAAATATTGTGTTTAGAACTTTATTTAAAGTTTTGTGTACTCAATTCTAATCAAATAACAAACGCATAGGAAATCTGAAGGAAATAACATATTTGGGTAGATATCAAGTCCGGTAAATACCTTTCAGAATAGTACGGTAAATACCTTAGTGGTACGGTAAACATAGTAGTACGGTAAATGCCTTTCAGAATATATACATCCTACTTAATAGTTTTATTTTCTAGTAGTTTTTGCTCTTATTATTCTTACTTTATCTGGAAGAAATAAAATATACATTGCGAGACGATTGTGACGCTGGAAGTAAATAAAATATACACTGCGAGACGATTGTGACGCTATGCTTGGAATATTGTCGTTTATGTTATACATGTTTCACATTACTTTGTATAATCCAAACCATGCGATGCTTCTAATATGGTATTTTGTTTATTATATTCAAAATCAGTTTTCATCTATTTCAGATGGATAATTAAGACTATTAAGTCATCATAAATAGTGAAAAATGTAACGAGAAAGCTCAACAAAATGAGGGAGGAATCCATTGCATGTGTTGCTCTCAAATTGGTTGTGCCTTAGTTTAGGGCTTTAACGATGACTTTTGATTAGTTTGAGAAGAGATGTAATCGAAAAGTAATAGATAAGTTTGAACATAAAATAAGTAAATTTATTTATCATATAACAAAACAAAAGAGAGAGAATAGATGCAATGTATGCATCCATGAAACTAGGGAGGACAGCTTGATGGACCATCACTTGCCCTAAAAGAAAATGTAAAATGTGTGGGTCTTCCTATTCATTTTCCATCTTGTTTCATATATTTTATATAAAACACTAAAATACCTAATTCGTAATACCTGAATTGATTAGTTAGTGGTTTATTGTTTTTTGTTGTACCAGGCTATTAGTCATGTTGAAAATGATCCATATATATATAAGAAACAAACTTTCTTAATTGTATAATAAAACTTTATTAATTGTAGAGAAATATAGTATGAAATCTTAGAGATTCTCTTTCATAATTTAAATATTAAACTAAAGTTTCATTATGTTCAGCAATTATATAGTTTATAATAAAATATGCTGTTGGGGAGATGGTTATGGGAAACAAATAAACATTTAGGACCAAAAAGAATTCTAAAAATAGAATTGGCGATCACATCAGTTGGTGGCAGAAAACAAAGATGGGCAAGTTCAAGGATCCAAAAACATTGTGGGAACCACCAACCACCAAGATTTTGGAAGTGGCCCAAGTTGAATGTGGAGGAGTTGTTAGCTCCTCAAATCTCTGAAGTCTATTCTAGTCTTAAGCCTTCACTCTTAAGACTTAACCCACAAAATCTTTTAAACCCACTTTTAAGTAATCTCAACACTTTTCATATATTTTAACATATCTAAGAGCGCAAGTGTGATAACAGTGTTAGCTATTTTTTGGTGTCAAGTACAAGTTCACACTAAAGAGTTATTTTTCTGCCAATAAATAAGACTTGAAAATCTGAACAAAAGTCGGAAGAAAGTTTACAGAACATAAAACATCAAAGTGAAAGAACACATAGTTTTCTCCATGAGCTATTGACCAAATCACTAAGTGATACATTAAAAAGAAAATATTAGCTGCTTTTTCTTTTATTCTACAAATAATCTAAAACTTGACTCGGACCTTACATTCAAACCCCAAGCATGTCTCTTCTATAAGCTATAACATGGAGACCAAACTATTGTGTCCATGAGCTTCACTGTCGGAGAATCTGTTGGAGCTGAAGGACTTGGTTTCTCTGTCCTGGTGGCAGCAAATTGATCTGCTCTGGCGTCAGGCTCATCACTTGTTGAAGCAATGCCTTCTCCATCTCTGCAGATATCTGAACAAATAGAAAAAACACAATCATCAACAAAAATTAACACAATTTGCTCGGTGATCAGCAAAAGTCACTTAAATCATACAACTACAGCGTCTACTGTAAAGGAATGTTGATTTGAGGGTTTTTAAAATGATACAAGTACAAAATCATTGACATGATAATATATATACTCGAAGCAGAAGCGGTCCAATGGCTGCGTCTTTCAGTTTGCAATATGGAAATGTAAATTACCGGTGCAGGTCGAGGTGGTGGGCCACCTCCAGGTCCAACTTGGCTTGGTGGAGGCACCGGTCCAAAGCCTGGGAGATGAGTAATGTTTGAGCTCTCTGATTGCCCAGCCATCCAAGAAGGAACTCTGTCTGCAGCCGTTGGACATCCTAATTGGTTATTATTGTAGTCTTTACGAAACTGACCTCCACCCTGAAACAAAAGACAAGATACAAAAGCATAACTAAAACCTGCACATATTCCATTTCGGTTATTTATTGTTTAAAGCAAAAACCTTCAAACGCAGTCGGACTAGAAACTAGATGACAATGAGCAAAGATGAGAAAATAAAAAAATTCATATCTGATTAAGAACAATGAAAAAGGTTGGAAAGAACCCTCAGTAAAAGGTTATAGACGGAGCACAAAGATAAAGCAGCATGATTGCATAGTTAATCTGCAAAACCACCAAACATATAGCCAAGTGGTATAAGACAGTAAAGAGTATAAATACCTGATATGTTGGTTGACTAACGGGACGTGGCTGTCCCTGCGGGAACTGAGGTCCACCAGAAGCTGGGAGTCTGTTGCCGGACTATGAATTGGTTCAAGTAAGAAGCTTCAGTCAGTCAAAAACATAAATCATAATGATGGAAACAAAAGAAGCTACTTAGTAACTCTGGACTTGCATGAAACAAGGGTTGAGAATGATGCTGAGGAGGTGCGCCACGGTGTTGAAACCCAGCGTTGGGACCAGTCTGGGATGGTCCAAACTGATGATGATATGGTCTAGGCTGTTGTTGAGCCAAATGAGGACCCACAACCGAGTGCATTGGTTGTTGTTGTGGCAACTGAGTGGAGGAGGCTGATGTCTCAACATGATGAAATGGAGGTGTTTGGGATGTCGGATGATGAGGAACTGGATGAGGCGCGTTTTGAGCTTGAGAAGACTGTGGATGAGACAAAGAAGTGGCAGCAGGATTATTCAGACGCTGGGGATGGGAAAAACGAGGCTGCTGCGATGGAGCATTACTGGTTGCAGAAGCAGAAGGTGGAGGAGGAGGAGGCATAAGCATTGGTTGTTGCAGTGTGTGTTTTCTAATCAGGGCTTGTGGCTGCAATGTAGCTGCTGGCTCTTGAAATCCAACCCCGCCTTGAAGAGAAGACATATGAGCTTGAACATTAGGCTTTTGAGGTTGATGAGACTGTTGAGGTTGTGGAGCGACTTGAGTCTCAACTTTCTGAACCTAAATGAACAGAGTTGTTAATATAAGGTTCATGAAATGTAATTCTAAAAAGGTCTAATAAAATTACCACTTGAGGAGGCTGAACCATTCCGAGCATGATTTGTGCCTAAACATTCAGCAAAACATAACATCAATTCATCATCATATAATAATCTGAAAAATCTATATACAAATAAACACTTTTGGTACATTCGTAGTTGCTCAGACATAAACCTAAACAGTGTTCGTGTCTTGAAACCATACGAAACCCTAAATTTTTAAACCAGACTAGTGCTACAACAATGCTAAACCTAAAATAAACAAAACACACTTAAGTATGAAGCTCGGAATCAAAACCTGAAAAAGAGCTTTGGTCAAAAATAAGATTCATTCTCTTTTAAAATTTGTAAAAGATTAAAACTCGAGAGAAGACAACCTTCATTTGAGACATGATACCGTAGAGCTGCGTTTTTGTCATTCCGGCGAGATTCTCCGGGAAAACGCCGTCTCCGACGATTTGATTTCCCGCCATTGTCGTCGTTCGGTAGTCGCAACGGTGACAACTTTTAGTGTGCTTTAAACACAACAGTTACGTGAAAACAAGCCTGGGCCTCGCACAGTATGGGCTTTTGTAGTGTTAAATTGACCCGCTTCATTTTAGAGTCGGCCCATAAATCATTCTTGGCCCGATAAGAAAATTCGACCTTAATTTGTATAAATAAAATTACCATAAAGATAACTACTAATTTATTAATCTTGATTAGTTATCTAAGGCTAAGATTTGTGTTTAAAAAAAAAAACTGATTAAATGAAAAGTAGTTACCAAAACTAACTAATTGATTTTTTCGGATGTATAGAAAGATAACTTCAAACTAATTGATGATTCTACTACCAAATTTGTAGTTCTTTATCTATACAAACTGTATAGACCAAGTCTAGTTTTGTGACTAATCTATCTACATGCCTGAATCTATTCGTCTACTGTCTACATATATTTTTCAACTCTCAATTAGCTGATAACAAATAGAGTGGTCCAAGAGACATTTATACTATAGCTAGATCAAGTCTTTTCTAATTATCACTTTACTTACATTTTGTAGGTTCTACTTAAAAAAATTAGCTTTACAAATCTAAGATATAGACATGGATTACATATTGTACATTAAGTATTCGAAGTTTTTTTTCAAACGTTCTTTATGCGTACCATGTTAATTGAACACGTAACATGCACTTATCTATATAGATCTGCAATATAAGTATCTCTTTTGGAAAAGCAAAAGCTTAAACACAAGTTTACAATTACAAAGCGTGTGACACGGTTTTGGCCTCTTCACTTTCTTGTTGCAGATATCTTCTTTTTATTTTTGTTTCCATCCATAATTTTCGTACGCCATAATTTATATATTTGATATAATATTGTACACAATATTGATAGGATTCTTGCCTTTGATAAGTCGGTATACGTCATCGACTTTACTTTATTCTTTCAGGTAAAAATCGGGTCTTCCAGTACATTCATCTCCCACCATGTTCTGTCACTTGAAAGTATCAGTTTCAACAAAATATAGATCATATTTCATATAATCTTTTGTTTTCAATGATCATAAACTGAGACTTAATTGTATGTGTATATATGTGGAAATATTTATACATAACTAAACAAGTAATAGTCATACTAAGTAATGAAAAATTTCTATAAGAAATTAGTAAATAAATGTGACAAGATCCAAATAAATTTATGAAAAAACATGTATATCATAAATTTCATACTGTCATAATCGTTGAATAGAAATCAAGATTATGCAGAAATATGGATTGGTAAAAACTCATAAATCACATAATCATTTCACTTTTCAGAAATTGCTAAATTTTTAATCAAACTATAATTAACCTATTTTAATATATACAAATACGAAGTGAGAGAGTTTTCTTTAAACTTGGCACTTGGTATAATTTTAGCATGCTCGTTAAGAAATGAGTAGGCGTATAATTTTGTCTTTAAGGAAATTATAAGAGTTCAATATTGTACATATTTAAAAAATTCATATTACAAAGATAAAGGTAGAGAAAAAAAAGAAAGAGAGAAGCACTCAACTCAACCACTTTATATTTTTTTTGTTTGGTAAAACCACAAACCTTGCTTTTGATTTTGTAGTTGAGGTCTCTCTCTCTCTCTCCATTTGATAGGAAGAAGAAAGATAAAAAGATAAAGAAAGAGAGAAAAGAGATATAGTTAAAATGCAATGTTATACAAATGAAGAAGCACTAGCAAGTCTCTTCATCAATGTCTCAACCTCCTTCTTTCTCCTCCTTCTCCTTTCTTACTCCGCCGTCTCCCTCCTCCTCAAGTTCTTCCACTTCATCGGAGGCTATGCTCTCCTCCAAAGGTCACTATATTTATAAGCTTATACCTTACATGAATATTGAAAATATTTTAAACTGTAATATTATATCGAGTAGATTCAAATTGCTAATAAGTTTATTTATTATGCAGGAGTGAAGATGAATATGATTCAACGGCGTGGCTTTCCGATGAAGAAGAAGAAGAGGAGGAGGAGGAAGCAGAAGAGGAAGAGTTCAAGATGTCTTGTAATACAAGTTACCACGTGATAACTAGAGATGAAAAACCTAATCATTTGATAGCTGATATAGAAGATGATGGAGAGTCTTTAGTGTTTTACAATAATAACTACAAAAGTGTTACAAACAATCGTCACACAGAGGATGTTAATGTTATGAGTGTTCATCAAACTCATGAACACGAAGATGATCAAGAATCCAACATTTCTTCCACAGATGAACACTTTTCCTCTGCTAATGTTTCTTCTTATCGCAGCGAATCATCAATAGAAGAGGAAGACAACGGCGTTGAAGATCTTCGTGACGATCTTTTTGATCATCATGATGATGATGATGAGGTAGAAGGAGTGTCAGAGTACGACGTCGTTGAAGATTTGGTTCGTAAAAGACCAGATAGAAGTATTCGTGGTCCCTCTCATGTCCAAAGTGGTTTGGTGTTCAATGACAAAAGCTACAATGGTATTATTTCTCTTCACATGTTTTCTTTATATATTTTTCTTCACATGCAGATAAAAAGTTGCTTTCTTTCTTTCTACACGTAACTAAGTAACCAAGGTTTAAGCAAAAAAAAAAAAAAAACGTAAGCAAGGTTAATCTTTTTTTTTTTTAAAAGTAACCAAGATTAGAAATGATTTTGTTTTGTAATAAGAAAGTATACAAGTGATATCCCACAATACAACTCAAAACGAACCAACAATATATCGTGGAAGTGACCTATATTACATATTATTTTTTATTCTTTTCATTATTAAACTAAAACACCAATGTACACTAGTCTATGTTATTTGTTTAAAACCATGAAATTACAATGTATAGCTAGCAAAGTTTCTTTAACATGAAATTGCAACGTTTCCTTAAATATACTTCGATTTTTTTGCAGGAGAGTTTGTCTCTGATGGAGGAATCAAGAATGATGTCGAGGAGATACATCCATCAATGGGATTTGCCACGAGAGAGATCAAAACAGAGGAACTATTAGAGGAAGAAGAAGAGAGAGGAGAGATATTTGGAGAGTCATGTACGAATGGGTCAACGTCAAAAAGCTCATCGGAATGGAGAAACTCTTTGAAGACCGACGATCCTTTTTCCTCCTCCTCTCGTCGGAGTTGCCCCAAATGGGAATCTTACACCGTCTTCCAAAAGTACGATGAAGAAATGACTTTTCTCACTAGGATCTCTGCTCAAAAGCTTCAAGAATCAGGTGAAACACCGTAAATATTATACATATTAATAATATAAATGATTCTCGAACTATCTTATGAACTTTTCTCACTAGAATACTGATTGGTTCGAGTTTTTCTGTTTGTGGGTTGAAAAATAAAAAAAAAATAGGCAAATTATAAAACAGAATTTAAAGAAGTATTGAAGTTTTGTTTTTTGAACTTTAAAGTATTAAATTTTTTATGAAAATCAAGTTTCAATCAAATATATAGGAAAGAATACTGAAATTTCAGTTCGGTTTGATCAATTTTATGTAATAAAAAACATGTATCATGTAGGTTTGGGTAACATCAGATATTACTAGATAGTAAGATCACAGTTAATCCCATCTCTTAAGTGAGTTCTTAAGAGGTGGGTCTCACAATTTTTATAAAACTCAAATCTTAAATTTTTTATGCAAGAGACAACTCTTGTGTTTTTCGTGGTTCCAGTGATGCATGATCTGCGATTGGTTGATTATAATATTTTTTTTTAAAAAAAAATCAGATTGAAAAAAAAAAACTTAAGAACCAAAATCTGGCTCTTAAGGTTGATGATGCTAACTCAATCCTATATAACTATAAAACGATTACAAAAACAATTTTATTTTTTGACAGATACGTTGAAGTCAATCATGGTGGAGCCAAGATCGATCTCGGAGAGGATAGTTCACAAGTTGTCTTCAAACGTACACAAGAGAAAGCAACAAAACACAAGTAGTAACGGGCCAAGACCAAATCCATACGTGGAGCTAGAAACAGCTTACGTGGCACAGATATGCATAACATGGGAAGCTCTAAGTTGGAACTACAAGAGCTTCGAGAGAAAAAGATCGTCCACGCAGCGAATCAGCTTCAACGACATCGGATGTCCAGCAGCAATCGCTGACCAGTTTCGTACGTTTCATATTCTATTACAAAGATACGTCGAGAACGAGCCTTATGAAAATGGAAGAAGACCTGAGATATATGCTCGAATGAGAACTCTTGCTCCCAAATTGCTTCTTGTTCCTGAATATCATGGTACGTACGTAAAAAAAAAAAATTAAATTAAGGATATGTTTATAGTCCTCTAAATATCAGATCCAACTCTAACGGTAGTTAACTGAAAGTAGAATCTTTAATAGTTTTAATTATTTGGATATAGATTACGAGGAGGAAGAAGAGAAAGAAGAGGAAGAGTTCAAGTCGAGGATAACATCAGCTGCGTTCTTGATGATAATGGAGGAATGCATAAGAACATTCATGAACTTTCTCAAAGCTGATAAAGAGAAGCCTTGTCAAAAGATCATCAAAGCCTTCCTTGGCAGAAATAAACGAGGCTCTGTTGATCCAACGCTTGTTCATCTAATGAAGAAAGTCAACACAAAGGTCAATATTTCAACTTCTATTTTTTACTACTACTTTAAAACCCACCATGCACACCTAGGAAATATATTATTATTAGACTGCAATTGGATTGTTATGGAATGAAATTGTGGAATGTTTTGTTGCATAATAAATTTCACACAAACATTTACCATTTTTTTTGAAATTATTATTCTATCAATTCCATTAAAAACAATAGAAAATTCTACTACAATTCTGATGAAATTAATAGAATGTATATACATATATACTGTATTCCCTTTTTCAGATTTCATTTTTTTTATTATTCCATTAATTTCATTATATGTTTACAATTCCACAGCTTTGGTGTTTTAGCCTTTATTCTATATATTATTACTTAATGTGTTCTACTTTGTGTGAATTACTCTAATATTAACAACTCTTCTATTTTTTTGGTGTATATAATATGTAACCTTGAACAGAAAAAGACAAAGCTGAAAGAGATACGTAAAGGAGGAAAATACATGAAAAAGAAAAAGATGAGTATAGAGGAGGAAATGGAGATACTAATGGGATTAATAGACTTGAAAGTGGTGTCAAGAGTGTTGAGGATGAAAGAAATGAATGAAGAGAAGTTGCATTGGTGTGAAGAGAAGATGAGCAAAGTTAAGATTATTCAAGATGGAAAGGCGTTTCAAAGAGATTCGACTCCACTTTTCTTTCCTCCTCATTGACCCCACCATTTTAATCAATTTTCTTGAATATACCCTTTATTCTTTCCCCACCCACATCCTCTGGTTTTACACGTCATATTGGAGGAGATCTTTTAGACAAAACTACGAATAAAGAGCACCATAAAGTTTAAAATTTGAATAAATAGATAGGGATATACTGTAGATTGCTTTAGTTCTTCTTTTACTTTCTCTTTGCTTTTCCTTTTCTTGTATCTTTTTACTTTTTTGAAATAAAATTTTCAGCCTTTATTAGGTATAAGGTGACTCATACACTCAAGGAATCATACAATTAGAGCGCTATATACTTAATGGAAGAATCATGTGATTAGTAAAAAATATGCATATGACCCCATGCATGAGTTACCAACAAAAAATGTGTTAGCTGTTTTTTTATTGTTGTGAAAAAAACCTGTGTAGTAACAAGGTTCATGTATTTACAAGCTTTTTACATAAATCACATTATATTTTGGAAAATTTTGGAGTTCCAGTTGAAGCCATGTATTAGACGAAAATGAGAAAAATATATAAAGAAAACGTACGTAAAGTCTTTCCGAACGAAACATTAACGATACATGCAGTGTTGTTACGCCCACCGTTTAGAAGACTTTGCCAAACTAGAAGAACTGCTTGTCTTCTTAATGCCTGGAAAACATATCGATTAAACGAAAAATTAATTGTAATAAATCTGATCTTCAAATTGTATCCTGAAGAGTAGGTATAGGTTCTCATTTTTGCTTACTTGATGATGACGACAAGCCCGATGCAACCTTAGCAACGGTCGATGTTGTTTTTGTAGCTACTTTCCGAAGTTTATCGAGTGGTCGTGTAACACTCGTCGTTGACCTTGAAGTCATTGACTTAGCTCTGCAATTTTACAACGTTCTTTTTAAAAACAGAGATCTCTAAAGAACCATAACAACAACAAAAGTTTGATTATTAAACCTGTCAGAGATTTTGGGTGGTCTTTTAGCAACATCAGTGGATCTTTGTGTTCCAATAGAAGAAGCATCAGATGTAGCCTCGCTCAACCTCTCCTCGTACTCTCCTTCGACGGAAGAAGATAAACTCTCACCATCAGTAACGGAGTGTCTTGACTGTGATGAATGGTCTCCAGTTTCTGAGTTCATGTCATCGGTTTGTCCGAAGCTCTTTCTCCTCACCATTGGTTTCTGAAGTCTATTAGGCTGATCTTTTACCAAGTGAAGCCTCTCTATCTCCTCATCTTTTCTTGCTATTGTGTCCTTAAGGGACGCTACCTGTGAATAAGCATATGATTCATGTAACTGCAAAGATCATAAGGGAGAGAGGACACGAGAGAGGAACTGTGTTACTTACCTGTTCCATTAAGTCTCGAGCATCTTTTCCTTCTTTACTGCTCTTTGCAGCACCAAGTTCGACTCCAGAGACACGTTCTGCGAACTTTAATGTACTCATCGACTCTGAATATGAAGTGGCATCAGGATTGAGTTGCACAAACATTAAGGTCTTTGCTCGTCCTCCTATAACATCAAACAGTTATGTTTATGATTAGATCGTTTAGAGTTTAAGCTCAATATCAATTCAACTAACTAACTAACCAAGGGAGCTTTGGAGTAGTTGTGTAAGCTTGCTGTTTCTGTATGGTATATGAGAACTCTTTGAAGCCAAAGAAAATATCACATCTCCAAGAGATGAAAGCGATTTGTTTATATGTTGTGCTTCTTTAAGTCTGTCTCCTTTAACTTCAGAGCGATCTACTCTCTCACTTCCTGCTAGATCCACCAAATGAAGATTTCCATATAAGACAGAACCAGTCTTCATGTCTTTACCACGAACATGAACAGTGACAATGCTGCATAAGAAACCATATAGTTCAGTGTAAAAGATCCGTTAAAACACACATGTTTTGTTTCATGAAGTAAGAACCTGTGAGAGCGACTACTTCGTTCATTCATGGCAGTAGCACCAACAGAACGATTCTGTAGTCCAACGTCCATCAATGTAATCACATCTGAGGTTGATGTCACTGGATACATGCTTGCGTCAGGCACAGCTAGACCATTTTCTGAAGTTGTAGACAGGATCCCTAGTGTGTGCACGGTCAAGGTAAACAAAAAAAACTAGTAATGAAAGAAAGAGAGTATAGAGCAAGACAGAAGTTGAAACAAAAAGGATATTTCTTTTGAGAACTATCATCAGAGAGCAAATCCAGCACTTGTTCATTGTATATCTCCACCATTTGCACCCCAACTTCATAGTTTATGTTTCCTTTTCTAGATTGAGATATTTTAAATAGATCATTGAGTGCACGATAGTTAACTCCCCAATCCTCTTCACTTGCTCCATCAGGACCAGTCTGAAAAGTACAAAAAGCGCGTTATTCCTTGAGATTCAAAAGATATCAAGAAAATAACATTGAAGACATAGATACCATTGTATAAGTTTTCCCTGATCCTGTCTGACCGTATGCGAATATACAAACATTGAACCCATCAAGCACTGACCGAACCAGTGGTTTTATGTCTGAAAAGACCTCAGCTGCAATAATCCAAAATATCAAAATGAACTTTGATGTTTCGAAATGTAACATACAAAACATAAATGATCAAGAAATAAATGTTTTAAGAGAACATAAACAGAGCGGGTAGAGATGAACACCTTGAGTAGCATTAGGACTATAAACTTTATTGAACTTAAACTGGCGAAGACCGTCTTTTCCAGGTCTAGTAGGATTGGTAACTACAAGTTCTCCATCCTCACCAACGTGCTCGACCACTGTGTTTGGTGCACCTTGTCCAGGAAGAAAAGGTCTAACTCGGCAAAACACTCGGATGTTTCCTACAAGTCACAAGTAAAGAACATTTAGGCTGCATAAAATTTGACAATTTGCATATCTTAACAGATATTAAACAGAAATATTTGTCATGAGCCTCAGTACCTTTTAGCTCTTGAAGCTCATTGAAAAGTTTCCGGTTTTCGGTTAGTACAGCATGATAGTTTTCAGCAGCATTGCTTAGTTCAATCAGTTTCTTTCCTGTCGAGACATGTTTTTTATTTATGATCACTAAAAACAATTTGAAGTCATACAAAAGGAATTGTTAGTTTATTCTCTTACCTAAAAGGCTGAACTGTTCTGTATAGTTCTCTTGAACCTTCAGAATCTCTTGCTTGATAGATCTTGAATAAAACCTCAACTCCTGAAATTCACCATAATTAGCTAAGCATAGTTATAAGTTCTTTGTTCTAGCAAACATTTTGTATACTGATATATATATATATATATATATATATATATATATATATATATATATATATATACATACCTGTAGTGCCTGAGACTGGTGGTTAATAAAGCTTCTATATGAAACTTCTTTCTGACTCCAACTTTGGAGTTTGGACTCAGATTTTTCCTCCATTTCTCTGACTTTACTCTTCCAGTTAACAAGGTTCTGTTCAAGCTCCTGAATCTTTCCTTCAAGGCTTGTATTAGCACTCTTTGTTTCTTTTTCCATTTCTTGAAGCTCTTTTATCTTTTCCTCAAGACCTTCTTTAGCACTATGTGCTTCTTCTCCCATCTTCTCTAGCTCCTTGACCTTTACCTCAAGGGAAGTTTTTGCAGTGTTTGCCTCTTTTCTCTCTTGCTCAAGCTCCTTGAGCCTGCTCTCAAGTCCTGTGGTTGCTAGCATCGTTTGGCTTTCCATTTGAGAGCATTGCTGTTCATAGGCTTTCTTAGTTTTCTCCAGTTCTTGTCTTAAAGCTGAAACTTCCAAGTTGAATTGATCATTTTGTTTGGATAGCTTGGCCATATCCTCTTCTTCGTTTCTGTATTGTTCCTCCCACTTTGCCTTTTGTGTCTATCATACAGAAGGTAATAATATCATCATTAGGTAAATAAAACAGAACATTGCTACTAAAGTCAGTTCTTTATAATGTACCGACCATTGTTTGGCTTTCCATTTTCGAGCATTGTTGTTCACATTCTCTTTTAGTTGTCTCTAGTTCTTGTCTCAACGCAGAGATTTCAACGTTGTAATGATCATTTTCTTTCAATAGCTTAAGCATATCCTCTTCTTCGCTTTTCTTCTTCTCTTCCCAGTTTGACTTCTCTGTCTATTATACATAACAAACCCCATAAGGCTATGAGTACTAAAGTCATTTCACAAAGCAGTATAATGTTGTTACCTTCATTTGTCTAAGCTGTTGTGTAGCAATCTGCCAAAAAAAAAAGATAGTTTTATGTGACAAGATCCAAAGCAACTAAACTCGTTAACAAATGATACATACCTCATTCTCTTCACCAGTACCTGCTGCTAAGGCTTCAAGTACATTGATCCTTGACTGGTACTTCTCCTCACGAGCTTTGAAAATATTGTTTTGCTGCACATTAACACACAAAGTAGAAACTACTCAGAAAAAAAACTAGAAACTGAAAACATTTCTATCAAGAAAAACAAAAGCCATACCGTTCTTAGATGTTCAGCTTGAGTTGATATACGTCTCTCTATCTCTTGCACTACTTTTCTCAACAGACATGCCACACGCTGATCATCATCATCATCAGATTTTGTCAATGCAGGTTCAATACATTATGATGATCAGAGTTGTTACCATTCAAAAAATTACCTGAGGGATTTCACCGTTTTTTCTTTCAATACTTTCATCAAGAATCCCATTCACAACGCTTAGTAGTGACTGTGTAGGAGCGTTCTGCATTACACAAAAATCCAAGAGCAATGTAAAGAAGACTTTTCAAAACGACTTAAGTCCAAGGAAAAATAGGCAGAGGATATAATATACATCTAAGCTGCTTGATTTCATCATTTCAGCAATCTTTGAGGCTTGAAGATCATAACGCCCTTGTTTCATTTGGAAAACCTCATGGAACTTGTGTCCTCCATGGTGTGATCCAGGTGATAATGGATCTGCCGTGAAACAGAAGACAAGAAGGTTACAGAGATATTAGCATGTTAGGTATTGCATTGAGAGACAAAGAGTTTTTAAGTACCTAATGCGCCAGAAGTGGCAAGGGCTTGTTGAAATTTGGAATCAGCGAGACTTTTGTCAACAGACAATGGAGAGAAAGGAGAGAAAGGACTACGAGGAGTAGTAGTTGTATCTCGTTTGGTATGCCTTTCGTCTCCAACAGATAATGGAGAAAAGGGAGAGAAGGGACTACGAGGAGTTGTTGTTGTATCTCCATAAGGGCTGCCTGTTTGATCACGCACAGAATTCATTCTATGCGTCTGATCAGATCGAGAAGGAAGCTTATGGAAACACTTGTTAAACCCAACTCTGTTTCATTCGTTAGCAACAAGTCCTAATAACAACAACAACAACAAAAGACTTGATCAGTGTTAGACCAAGTCCATAAAAGAGGAAGCTAGAGATAAACCCTAGCTAGATAGTCTAGTTTTATTTTCTTGTTCCACAAGCAAAGATGGATGATTAATAACATTATCAAATTGCAACACAAGCAAAGATGGGGTAAGAAAAAAAAAGATTTACACAACAATCTCCATGCATAGGAATTTAGGATGATTAAGACAAAAACAGAAATAGGAGATGATCAAACAAACACATGCAACTTCTGAGATTGCTAGCAAAAATAAAACATTAAACCTCTTAATATAAAAAAGGTACGTTGGCGAAACAAGAGGAACATTGAAAGAAGAAAGTCAAAACATATATAGTTGATGATGATTAAAGGTCGTGATCAGCAGAATAGGATCATGGCAAATTATAACAGATATGATGAAAGCGATCATTTGTTTTCTTACCTAGAAAAAATTTCCAGACAGAAATTTCCTCGGAAAAAAACTTGGAAGCGTACGTGCGTGGAGGAAGTCCAAACCCAATGAGACAAGGAAAGGGAGACGTGATGGGAATGTGGGCTGGTTTGATTATTAGTGATAATAAAACTCGATTATTTTTTAATAATTAAACTTAGTAAGAAAAAACAAAATTAAGTTTTTGTTGTTGTTGTTGTTTGGTTCTTTATTTGGTTAGTGTATGGAGGAAGGGAGCGCGAATTTAGGAAGAGAAAGTAACAAAATATCTTCCCTTTCTCCAATCGGTTTATGACACGTGACAAATCTAGGCTGAAATTGGAGGGAAATCAGACTATAACAATTGTGTAACGGAAATTATAATATTTGGTTAACAACTGATTAACTTGTAGATATGATTTTTGGGGGGTATGACGACCAAGAGAAACATTTTAATATGTGTGGTCTGGACACCACACCACGTCGAGTTGTGGCTATTAAATGTTAAACCTATCGTTGCAGTATTAATAGTTAAAACCATATATTAACAAACAAAACTGGAGTTAATAAGAAATATATGTATCATGTCGAACATTAGTACATGGATGTTTGTTTGTTTTGGTAAAACTAGTATAATTTTTTGTTAACTTCTTAAGCGACAATCAATAAAATACTTATAAATTATTTTTAAATATTTTCTGTTAGTTATTATTCCATACGTTTCAGAATACTTGTCATCTAGACTTAATTTTTTGTCACAAATTAAATGTTGTTTTAGAGTTTTGAGATAAAATTTATTAGTTTCATATAATATTCTATTAGTTGAAAAGTGATTAGGTATATAAGTAATTATGTTTTTATCTTGAAAATATATAAAATTAAATTTTTCCTTAATCTGTATGCAAAAGCCTAGAATGACAACTAAATTGAAACGAAGAAAATATTAAGTTTGTTTACTCGTGTGAGTTTCCCTATCAACAATAAATAATATTTCTTCCATTCTAAAATAATCCATAGTATAATTTTTTACATATATTTATAAATATATAAAATATTATTTATAAATATATAAATTTTACAATTATATATTTTCTATAATTTAATCTAAACCAAAAAAAAATCAATTAATAAAAAATAAAAAATCCAAACTAAACCGGGGGAAGAACAGTTAAAAACTAAGAAAACCGGTCTGGGTGAGAAAATACGTCCCAATTTAAACACCGACGTAACAATTTAAACCGAGTGATTTTTGTTGGTTTAAATACACTAACGAAAACGTGAAAAACCTCAACGCGCCACCATGACTAGCGGCGGATACAAACCGGTGAACACAGTGCGTCACACAACCACCACCGTCTCCAAACGAAAGCGATCTTCAATCTCAGACTCATCCAATATTCACGAGCCACTACACCGACCCCACTCTTCTCTCGCTCCAGGGCCAAACCGTAAACCTAGTAAATCCTCTCGCCGGCGCCGAAGGATACGTAATGAGAGGATCTCGAGTTCCGTAGAGCGTCAATGGGTGTTTTCTCCAAGCGATTCGAGAAACCTTAAAGGTCTCACGGCTTTTACATAACACTAATAATGTCAAATTGTTTGTTTTTTAGGACACGGTTTTTTTTACTTTTGTCTGAATCATGTTTTTTTTTTTTGGTCTTGTTTTTCAGATAAACTAGTTTTGGTTTCTTACAACCTACTTGGTGTTGACAATGCGTCCAACCACATGGACTTGTATTACAACATCCCCTCGCAACACTTAGATTGGAATAGACGGAAACATCTCATATGTAAGGAGATTAGTCGTTATAACGCAACCATCTTATGTCTTCAGGCAAGTTTCCGACCTTTATTATTATTGCATACTGTTCCATTTTAACATGCGTATGAGTATATATATGAGAAGGCACACAATGTTTGTCCCTTACGTTATGGTTTTCATTAATCATTGGAGGATTCGTATCATGTCAAAAATGGCTTCTTTTTAATATATAGAAACAGGGTAACGGCCTAGAGATATACTATGATGACGAGTTTATTTAGTTCCATTTGTATCCAACTCTACGTGTTGCATTGTCATAGTTTTAGCTTTTGTGCAGGAGGTTGACCGCTTTGATGATTTAGATAGTCTTCTTAAAAACAGGGGATTTCAAGGTGTTCACAAGGTATATAAGAGTTAAAAAAACAAAAGTGGATATCTGGTTCTCCTGTTTTTAATTTCTTATTATATTTTCTAGCGTCGGACTGGAGAAGCGAGTGATGGTTGTTCTGTATTCTGGAAAGAGAAACTGTAAGTTCATGTTTCCATTTAGGGTCAATTTTTTTTTTTGTGTGGTTGGAAAGTTTCGATATGCTGGAGTCAAGAAATTGAATCTTAGCTATTTTGAACTCTCTATTACATATCGTTCAAAGCTTTGCATTCTAATGGTTCTTGATGTAGTTTAATTCTGTATCGAAATTTTACTCTCCTGATATCACCATTTATGTCCTAGTTTTTTTTTTGAACGCAGATTTAAACTCCTACACCATCAAGAAATAGAGTTTAATAGATTTGGTCTGCGAAACAATGTTGCTCAACTATGTGTTTTAGAGGTATGCACCATTTTTAAGTAATTAGAGATTGAATTAACTGAGCACGATGCATCTTGATTAGGGGTACTATTTCAAAATTTTATCCCTTATGTTATTTGCTTTAGAGTATGTTTGATTATTTTCTAATTCATCTCTTTGACCCTGTATCATGGAACAGATGAACTGTGAGGATCCAGAATCTAAATTACGCGAGCAATCTTCAGAGTATGTTTGCGTTCTTTTTCTGATTCTTTTACTAGAGATTCAAGATACGTTCAGTTCTTTATTAAATTTCACGCTTATATGAGGTGATTTGGTTGATTTCTAGGCAAACATCTACAAGTCCTCGGAGGCTAGTGGTTGGGAATATACATGTCCTGTTCAATCCAAAGCGTGGGGATATTAAGCTAGGCCAGGTATGTATTACTATATGCTTACAAAATTCGTATTAAGTTGACTTATCCATAGAACATTGTTAGAAATGCCGGTGTCTTGATTAGTAGTGAAGAGTTATTGTGGTCGTCATCACAGTACATCTAAGCCTAGCAGGATAGATGGAACTTGATGAAAAATTTCAGTAGCTCTTTCGTTTTGTTGATATTTGAAATGATACAAACTTTTAGGTAAGACTCTTGCTAGAGAGGGCTTACAAGCTATCACAGGAATGGGGAAATATTCCAGTGGCAATTGCTGGTGATCTGAATAGCACTCCAGAGGTGACCTCTACCAACTTTTTTTTTGTTTGTATCACTTATTGCTTTTGCTGCAAATTTTGTGACATTAATTCTCAATTTTCTGGACAGAGCGCAATCTATGATTTCGTAGCTTCAGCAGATGTGAGTTTCTATTTTTTCCGTTTCAGTTTCTTCAAAATTTGGAGTGAACTCTATTTATTCCTTTTTTTTTTTTTCATTTTGGACAGTTGGATACACAACTCCATGACCGCAGGCAAATCTCTGGTCAGTGTGAGATTGAAACAAATCAGAGGTCATTTAGAAACCATTATGCAGTTAGGTAATTGGAGTGTCGTCAAAATGCTTTGGTTGCTATGAGTAGTGTTTCTGTTTTTCTGATGAACTGATAGTTCGCTTATATCTCTCCTATGGCTCGCGTCCATTTTTTCAGTGCATCACAAACCAATGAATGGAGCCAGGAAGAACTACAGCTTGCAACTGGTGGTCAAACAAGTACTCATGTCCGACATCAACTGAAGCTTAACAGCGCATATGCTGGCGTTCCTGTAAGTGTTTTTTTGGTTTCTTGATCTCTACTGCTTGAGACATTTGGTTGAAATCTCTGGAATAGAAAAAAACATACTATAGTAGAGAAAAAGAAAGTTGGTTTACTCTGAGAAGCTTTAGGAACTGTAGCTTTCTTTGATTCTAGATTTTAACGAATGTATGTGAAGTAGCATGCTGTCTGATGTTGTAGCTTTCCTCCAAGTGTGATAAGAGCTGACATCTTTCAGGGTACACATAGAACGAGAGATCAATGCGGTGAACCATTGGCAACAACATGTCATTCGAAGTTCCAAGGAACTGTTGATTATATATGGTAAAGTCTTTTTTGCAAACATAAAATCCTAATCATTAATCAGAGCTTTTTTAATGGGAACTCTGTTGTGTTAGTCTACATGTTTATATTATGATTTATGAAATGGTAATTGTTAATCAGGCACACCAAGGAACTTGTTCCATTGAAGGTTCTTGAAACCTTGCCAACTGATGTTTTGAGAAGAACACGTGGACTACCAAGTGAGGTATTCATTCATAAGTTTAGGCTTTAATTACATGTTCTTTCTTCTTCTATGAGCCCTTTGCTTTCTTGAACTTTGCAGAAATGGGGAAGTGACCATCTCGCTATCGCATGTGAACTTGGATTTGTCAGTGAGTGACGTTGAGACTACAGGTTTAACGTTAAAAGCCCCCAACGGAGCTACCTGATTTTGCCATCCCTTGAAGTTTATGATCATGGAGGCTTGTGAAGTGGAGTTTTCAAAATCGCTTCGGTTGAAACTGTTACAAATAAGCACCCACAACATACTCTTAACTGTTTTTTTTACTAATAATATACGATTTTGTTGTAAGATGATAAGTTTATGTTTTAAGATCTTGATGCATCTAGAAATCATTTCACTTTAAATTTTGTTTCCATAGTTTCATTTTACCTTTTTTTCAAGTGTTTAGTCAAGAAGTAAGGAAGAGTGATTATTACACAAGAGTGTTGTTATTCATTCTTCTTCTGATTTCATTTCAAGAACTGAATACATTAAGTAACATACAGAAGAACGATGACTGATTCATAGAGTAAACCTAAAGCAGGTGAATGTAGACAGATTCAGATGAGGAGAGTTCCTGGTAGGATCGCTGCGAGTGCGATGATGATTAGCTGAATCTCAGATTTGGAGCCAGAGGATCTCAAATCATAACCTAGCCCCATTAAGCTAGTTGGTCTTGGTGCCATTTGAGCTACTGGGGTCGCTGATGAAGTAAAACAAAATCAGTAAGCCATCATGTTGTAATGTTAACTCTTTTTATGTTTTGGTTTTAGATGCTGTAAACTTTGGTGTAAAGTGACTTACCTGTGACACCAGAGTTGTTCCTTGCACCTGGAGAGACTTGAGAACCAGTTGAGCTAGAAGGTGGTGGAGCAATGGAGGAAGAATCACTAGGCGCCTCTCCTATAAACAAAAAAAAAGTTTCTCATAAATTTCAAGAAAGCAATCGGAATCTTTATGTGGAACATTTTAAGTACCTGGGGAAGTGCAAGAGGACGAGTTGGCTGGAAGGTTGCAAAGTGGAGGCAATTGTAGAGCAAGAGTTTGGTTGATTGGAAAAGCAGGAGACAAAGTAGAAGTATTGTTGAGTAAGAGGCAGAGACAAGTTGGTTGTTGGCTATAGATCTGGTTTAAGCTGTCACAACAAGGCTGAGCTGGGAGCTGGACAAAGCCTTGAACGAATGGACCACATGGAGCTAAGGAAAGAAGCATTGAGGAGCATGTAGCTGTCGTTCCTGGGACTTGAGCGAGAACCAGTTGTGGAAAGATTGGAGACAAGGAGATTAACAGAGTGATAAAGAGGATAGAAGAAGCCATTTACTTTCCTTGGAGTACAAGCTTCGTTCTTCTTTGTTTGAGAGGAAGTGGTGGTTTAAGTATTTAAGCTCGGAATCAATTGGTTTGATGTGCGTGACTGTGGACAGGTATTGTTATTGCACACATGATGTGTGTTTAGTTTGGTTGCAAGACTTTGATGTCTTCATGTTTCCTACATTCGACTTCATTCATAAACTATGCTTCTTGTTTCGAGTTGACCAAAACAACAGGATTAATAGTCATTAAATATGAATAATTAAAGGAACATCAAAGTCGTTGTAGTATAGTGGTAAGTATTCCCGCCTGTCACGCGGGTGACCCGGGTTCGATCCCCGGCAACGGCGTTAATTTTTTTATGAGACACTTTAATTTTTTTTGTTCTTCAGTTAAATTTTTGTTTTTGAGACACTTTGGTAGGAGTTTTATCATCTCTCTTTTTTTCCGGCTTGTAGAAGAGTTGGTCAAATAATCTGTTGGCTACTCTTTCTCCTTATTATAGGAATCTTCTCAATCAACTCGATCGAGTCAAAGTGTTGGCAAGGGGTAACACAACTGAGAGAAGATTCAGGTTTGAAGAGGAAGTGACTTTTTCCTCTACTAGAGACTCATTTATGTTTTGAAAAAAAATGTTGGTAACTTGAATGGCTCCGATAATGGCGCAGTGTATGGATAGGAGGTAGTATATTTGACACCGCTAGGTTCTTTCCAGCAAATTTGGTTCTCAAAGTCTGAGTAAGTAACCCATTGGATTGGTCTCTAGTACACTGAGTCACACATAAATAGTTTCTTCTCCGAGCAAGGAGATTCTTACATTCAGAGGAAATACCCTTAAAGGTTGTGCTACTTTTATAGTAGGCTGCTGAATCCATAGTGTTAATTATTTGTAGTCTTCTGTTCTATTGCCAAGATGGTGAGACCTTTGGAGACAGTCAGATGAGTGTTTGGAGTTAGGCGATTCTTTTTTTTTAAATTTAGGCAAGTTTTTGCATCTATGCAAATGCAAGTTGACGAACAAATTACATTCCCGGAAAACATAAAACACATCTTTCGGCAAAAAATACATTTGATTGGCGTTATTATATAGTTTTCCAAAAATATTCATATGGTTACGTTAAGATTATTTTTCGTTAGTAGGAGTACTATATTTAGTTTCCATCATTAAAAGCAGTACGTTTCTTGTAGCATAAAAAAAAAAGTAAAATAAGTACAATAGTTGCCACGACCAATTCAATTTGGGTTGCTGTGTTTACATTAAATCCCATGCGTTACGTAAAGGTTATCTTCCCTTTTAAAAATTGTTTGAAAATCACATAAACAACATATAATCCGGAGTGTGGTAATTAGAAAAATAGCACAAATAAATAAGCATTCTTGCGTTTAATCATCATTGCTCCTTTTGGGTGGTGTGTTGTGTAGTGAAATTGACCTTCTCCTCCGTGTCGTAATGTGTCACATCCTACATTATCCAATAATACATCTCCACGTGCACACATCTTGTCTCTCTCTCTCTCTCTCTTAATCAGGACGGCAATAATCGCCGACGTGTCCCCCCCTAATCAATCGGATTCTCCTCAATTAATAGTTTATCCAGTTTTTTTCTTTAATTTTGGATTCTCGGGGAAGTCTCGGGAGATTCGGTCTCTGTGTTTTTCCGCAATAAATCTCCATCCCAATTTGCTCAAATTTTCTGGAAAATTTTGGTGGAGAAATCGCCGAAATCAAGATTATTATTTTTTTCATTTAAATCTAATATAGATTCTGTGTTTGGGGGGGAGAGAAAAGTGATGCAACGAATCGTAGATAATGCTCTCGCTATCTCCAAAGAGTAAACTCCTTTCCTCTTTTTTTTTTTTTTTTTTACAATTAGTTTCATTCATCAAGCTTCCCTTACCATATGATCTCTGTTGTTATATAGCTCAAATCTCATTTGTTGATTGACTTATTATATTGATAGAAAGATTTGTGACCAAACTATCTTATTACTACTTGTCTTTTACTTTGTCTGCTTCTTGTTTCCTTATTATGTTGTTGTTGTGTAACTAACTATGGCTTTTGGGTTATGTTTTGTCTTTTAGTACAGGTCTGTGAAAGCTGTAACATATGAGTCTTTGAACAACATTGCAAGATGCATTAATGGAGTTTCAGCTCTTCTCTTGACACTTCTCCCTGGGAAGGCTAATATTCTTGAAGGTCTCCATGGCTGGGAACTTAGACCCACTTTGCGTGGACCACGTTTACCACGTTGGATGCATAAGTAATAAAAACAAACATTGCTGAATCCTCTCATGATTCTATTAATATATGGTAATTTTACTCTGTTTTTTAATTCTTGATGGCAGTGGAGTATCTTCTTTCAATCACTTCATTCATGAACTCTCTGTGGATTCTGATACTTCGAGCTTGGAATATTCTTCTGGAGAAGATAGTGATGGTGCATTACCTCCATCACCATCTTCTCAATGCTCACGTCTCTCTTGGGCAAGTGCTTCTGCAAAATCCGAAAGCCACTGGTTTGACTGGATTACGTTCATTCTTTGGTGGTTGATACTCCCTTTACGTATCTTGCTATGGATACCACAGTATTTTCTGCGTTTGTTATTTAAAAGAACTTCAAGAACTCCCACTAGCCCAAGAAGGAACCAACCTAGGCCTCGTCTTAGCAAGACTAACTCTAGCAAAGACCATGATGTTCCCAACCGTGCTACTGATAGAAGACGCGGAGTTGTTGAGGTTTGTGGATAGTATCTCACTGCTGTTTCAATCATGTTTGTGTGTTTGAAACCATTTTTATTCACACATTCTTTGTACTTGATGTGTTTTGTTTTGCAGGATCTTCATCTTGCTATAGAGATCTGCATAGAAGCGATTTTTGATTTTTTCCACAGGGCTACACATCTTCTTCTTTCTCCGTCAGAAGCTTTTGCAATAGTGTTATCATGGTTTTCTTCTCCCAGTTGCAGACGTAAAGAAAAACATGACCATGTTTCAGATGATGAAACTGTGCAGACTGCCACTTTAGGAGATACTGATCCATCTGTTACAGAAAGGCCTACACGCTTATACAACACTATGAACACGGATACTCGAACGTGTCAAGATGTCATAACAGAGCTGGGGTGGGGGAAGCTTAGATGTCTTGTGCTTCGTTTTTGTTCTTTCTCCCATTCTCAACCACTTAATATTTACTTTCTCATCTACTTATAATAGGTATCCTTATGAAGCTATTCGTGTTGTTACATCTGATGGATATGTTCTTCTCTTGGAAAGGATACCAAGGTATAACTTTCTTGTGATATGTTACGTTCACTTGTGTATCAATTACCTTTCATGAATCGTTGTCTCTTCCGTATAAGTATGTGATCATTGACTGCTATTCTTATTTTTGCAGACGTGATGCAAGGAAAGCTGTTTATCTACAGCATGGGATTTTGGATTCTTCAATGGGGTGAGTTTCATAGCCTGTTTCTTAAGTGACTTGTAAAAATTGCAAAGTTGTTAAGGTGAAAGGTCGATGAAGTATTGTTTCCTATATGTCGATGAAGTATTGTTTCCTATATCATGTTGCATAGTTTTTTCTTCTCATTCTTTTTTTTGTATCTCTGAGTTCTTCTTCAGATGGGTATCTAATGGGGTTGTTGGATCTCCAGCTTTTGCTGCATATGATCAAGGTTCAAGCTTAGATTTTCCCATACTCCAGTCATTTATTAATTCACATACCAACTTCTAGGATTCTTACACTCTTATCTTTCACAGGCTATGATGTTTTCTTAGGCAACTTTCGTGGTTTAGTTTCAAGAGATCATGTGAACAAGAACATATCTTCAAAAGAGTGAGTTCTTGACTTCCTTATGATAGTGAAGACTAGAGAAAGAACTGTTTTGCCTGAGATATATTGCTTGAACAAAATGCAGGTACTGGCGATACTCCATTAACGAGCACGGTACTGAGGACATCCCAGCGATGATAGAAAAAATACATGAAATCAAAACTTCAGAACTTAAGCTCAGCCAACCTAATACCGATGAGGAAATCAACGAGGAGGAGCCTTATAAGCTCTGTGCCGTCTGTCATAGCTTAGGTGGTGCTGCTATTCTGATGTACGTCATCACTCGCAAAATCAAGGAGAAGCCACACCGTCTCTCCCGACTAATCCTACTTTCACCTGCTGGATTCCACGAGGACTCCAACTTAGGTTTCACGTTGGTTGAGTATATCTTCCTTTTCGTGAGTCCAGTACTTGCTCGCATCGTGCCTGCCTTCTACATACCGACAAGATTCTTCAGGATGCTTCTGAACAAGTTAGCACGTGACTTTCACAACTACCCTGCTCTTGGTGGGCTGGTTCAAACTCTAATGAGTTATGTAGTCGGTGGAGACAGCTCGAACTGGGTTGGAGTGTTAGGGTTGCCTCACTACAATATGAACGATATGCCAGCTGTGTCCTTCCGTGTTGCGCAGCATCTTGCTCAGATCAAACACACAGGTAAGTTCAGGATGTTTGATTACGGGAGCAGAAGAGCTAACATGGAGGTTTATGGCTCTCCTGAACCGCTTGATCTAGGGGAGTCCTACAGGTTCATTGATGTGCCTGTGGATTTAGTAGCGGGGAAGAAAGACAAGGTGATTCGGCCTTCCATGGTGAGGAAACATTATAAAGTGATGAGAGATGCAGGGGTTGATGTGTCGTTTAATGAGTTTGAGTATGCTCACCTTGACTTCACATTCTCTCACCGGGAAGAGCTTTTGACATATGTGATGTCGCGGCTTCTGCTTGTGGAACCGACGTCTGTTGAACAGAGGCAGAACAGTCAGAAAGGTATGAAGTTGAAGAAGAAGAAAAAAGAAGGTACAGTAGTGTAAGTAAAGCTTAAACCAAACTATGGTCGATGTTGTCAATGCCCCCGTAGAGTTTGGTGTCTATTGTGATGTTGTGTGTTTGAAGCTTTGTGCTTCATGTGGTTCTATGTTGATCTCCTATGGACTAGCTGTAATAGTGTACATAATATGAAGTGTGATCTCTATATAAAATGAACTTGTTGCCAGAGATGCTTTTTCAGCAAAATGATACATGTTTCTAATAGTGGTTTCCATGAGAATTGTGCTTGCAGCCAATTACTATACTTCATTGGAACTCTAGACAGTAGACGGACCAATCAATCGTTATACAGTGGAATGTCTAATGGACCTGTAATTGATTTTGGCTATCAGGTATTGGCTTTTGAAAAATTGAATGAAATCGCTCAAAAGAAGACAATAAAAATGTTAGGTCAACGCGTTTTGTTGTTACCACATAGAACACAGAACATCAAACATATTCAATTGAAGGCATCATCATCATCATCATCTTCTTGAGTTTGATGTATGCAGTGCGTGTGATCGTGGAGCTACTTCTGCAAATGTAAATTTATGTTTCGTTCTTTTATTCAGAGAGAAAGAATCAAACCAAGCTCTCACTTTCTCAGGAATTTTTCTACACCAGCAACTATAAAAACAAAACAAACAGAGATTTTCTCTCACAGTGCGATCAAACTTTATTTGCTTCTTCTCTTGAAGGATTGTTTGTTCTTCTCATTTGTCGCAGCAGCAGCAGAAGCAACAGGTGGTGTCTCATGTTGAGGATCATCATCAGGTAAAATAGTATGAAAAAACTTCTTAGAAGAACCAACTTGGTTACAGATTAACTTAAGCATCTTCCTCCCTCTCATCCATTTCAGCAACAGCTTCATATGAGTCTTACTGTTCAATCCACTCACCCCAGCCTCCTATTATTATTCCATTAACAACACACAGTCAAAAACACATTTCAAAAATTCTATTAACATCATTTCAATCCCTAAAATCAATAACTAAACAAATCAACACAACACTAACGATCTGAATCAAGATCTCGAGAATGTTAAAACTGTTAGATCTCAATTTGCTGAGGGGGTTTAAGGAAGATTTAAGACCTGAGCGCGGAGCCACGTGTTGGGAACGGAGAGAGGTCCGTGTTTCTTGAAGACATCGTAGAGAGAGTTGGAGATGATGTGAGCTTCTTGGATCGAGACCTTTGGGTTTATCTTTCTCACGTTTACTGCTCGCTCTCTCGACATGTGTCTCACTAACAGAGAGTTATAGCTCATCTCGTTCTCGATAACAGTAGCGGAGGCTCTGCAGAGCTTCCTCAGTCCTACTCCGCCGCCGCCGGTGAACCACATTCTCTCTCTTCTTCCTCGCCGTCAACTACCTCTCGCTTTTCTCTCGATTCCGCCGGAATCAACTTAGGTTTCTCTTCTCTCTCGCGTCGTCTTTGACATTTAAAAAAAAAGCCCAATGGGCCATGTATGGGCCCTATTTAACTTAACTGTTATTTTACCAATAATTACCCGCCAAAAATAGCATCTACGCCTACAACTGCTTGTTCAGTGAAAGTTGTTACTGATTTGCTATATTCAGTGGTTTTGTGTTGGTTAGCATTTGGTTTAAAAGTTACAAGATATTGCCATAAAATGTAAATACCAAAGATTGTGTCTCCAGTTCCTTATAGTCACACTGTAACAGAGACATGATTTCTAACAGAGTTGTAGTCTACTACAGATTTGGCAAGTGGGATTGCTATAAGCCTATAACAGAGACTTTAATCTCTACATCACATAATATATAATAACTAATCCAAGTTAGCTTTTATACCAACTAAACCTCTTTCTCTTTAAGATGTCCACAAGATTAGAACCAGAGATGGGAATACGTTATAAAAAGTGAAACGGATACCATACAAATTATAGCAGCGAATCTAAACTCTTAAGACAAGATCTTATCCAATTGACTTCTGGTTGACCTAATACTCATGCTGATTCACGCAACTACAAAGACTCGGCAAAATGTGAGGAAATGTAGCGATAGTAATAGAAAGTAGCGTGAGTCATCATTAACTCTCTACATCTACAATTATATATATACAGTTATCGAAGAGGGTTAAGTTAGATGTTAAACATCATATACGGGGAGCCGCTCTTCGATTGTTACACGGCAGAAGGGACACCTTTTACACTTTTCTGAGCAGTTTCTGCAACAAACATGACCACCAAAAACACAACATGAGCAGTAACATTAAGCAAATATGCTCTATAGCAAAATCTGCAATTGCACATGATAGGATGCAAATGATGATTAAGTTACCTGCAGAGAACACGGTGTCTGCATGGAAGCAATACCACACTGATCTCTCTTTCGAAACAAATCCTGCACAGCACTTTCTCCTGGAGCATAGAGAAGATTGAACCAAGCCCAAAGGATATAAGCAAGCAGCAAAGTAAAATGAGTGTGCAAGCTAAACCCCTTTAGGGAGAGAAGTGATTTCACAAAAAGAAAGAGGAGAGGAAGAAGAGAGCATTACATTTTGCAGTCTCTCATATTCCTGCTGACTAAACTTCGTGATTTCTGTTTGTTCACCAAGTGCTGCTTGAAGTCTCCACACCTGAGAAGAAATTATAAGGTGAGCAATACTGAGAAATAATTAACAAGATCTACAGTAATGCAGTACCTCCTCAGCAAGATAACTTATTTGCAAGAGAAAAGAAGAGATACAGTACCTCCTCAGCAAGATCTTTCTTGGGCATTTTCTTGACTATTTCAGGCGGATGACCACAGAAGGTACTGTAGCTGCATAAATACATTCATGAAATCTTCTACAGGTTATAGATACAACCATTTTTACTGGAAGAATGTAGAAGGTTTAATTGTACTAACCCAGACTCTTGATCAAAGTATACTCGAGCTTGCTCCTCTTGGCTTACTTCATCAATTGACCACCAACCTAGTAGCCTGATGAGCACGTAGAGGATCAAACGTTAATCTTCAACTTTATGTTCGTTAGTAACTCAGTGGCAGAATATACAATTTAAATTTGTTGGTTAGCCTCCATGAGTTGTGTGCACTAAAACTGATAAGGAAGCAAAAAAACATGTTTTATCACCTGGATCCATGGTGCAAGAAATCCAAGCAATCATGGGCTCTAGATGAAATTCTAAAATATAGTCCTGTATCACCGCCGCCCCGCAGCAATAGAACAAACTTCTCTACTAATTTAGAAGCAGCAAATAGAATACCAACGCCTTGCAGTAAGAAGAGTGGAGAAAACAGGAGTGGGACAGGTATATGCTTAGCAGCTTCAGGAGTCCCCTGAAAGTTCAAACCACAATTTTGATTATTGGTAATGTCCCAAACACAACAATTTTCGGAGAAAAGTTGTGTACCTCGAGGTGCATGCAAAGCACCACTTGAAATAAAATAAAAGGGATTTTCATTATATGACCACCAATATCTTCCAGGCCACACGTTCCATCTTGGTGCCTGTCGTCTTCTGGAAAGTCCAGAAGGCCACTGTTTGAAACAACATATCTAGTAGTGGTAGAAGATGACCCGGGTTCTCTGACAGGTGAGCCTCTATGGATAACTGGATTGGACCATTTTGTACAGACAAGAAAAGCAAAGCACTCTGCAATTCTGCAGTCAAAACGGACAAACACATTGATTACCTTCATGAGCAACTGCACCAATAGCATTAGGAGAAATACATCTTTAACAGAAAAGGAAGAGACAGTGCATACCCGAAGTTTATGAATAAATCCCACCAGCCAAGAGCAGCTACATCACCTGATATGAATATAATTAGAAAGAATTAAGACATGGCTCACATAAGATAGGAGTTACATAGGTAAAGAGCTGACCGGGTCCGGCTGTTAATGAGAAAACTGACGTTAAATATGATTATATGAATATGTCAATGTCCGTGAACACAAGAGGAAGGGTCAGATCAAATTAAAGTAATTATCAACTTGTGTTGTTCCACCAATTAAGAAACTCATTCTGCAATATTTCAAGGTTTTACTTTCTGAAGAATTTGCCTAATATATGTGGACACTGAATGGATAATGCCAATGGTCATCTTTAGACTAAGGAAGCTACTTAAAATTCTAGCAACAATTCCAGTGGCAGATTATTACCGGACAGCTTAAGGAGGGTAAAGATTGTGGCAGCCAGAAAGAACACCATGGAAATCGCAACCCAAAAATGCTGCCGACGAGAAAGAAAAAAGCATCAACAAAGTTTATTCTGAATCTGAGTCCTACTTGACTTGAGAATCAGAGTCCAAAGTTATGTTATAGAAAATATGAAAATGGTTATAGACCACTAACAGCTCAAATGTAGAAATTAAATGCAGCTTAAGCAAGTAAAGAAAGAGGAGTCCTAGTCTTAAGCTGCTGAATCAAAGACTTTGAACAGAAGCTGAGGCCTTAAATCAACAAAAGTAGCATGACTTACAGGAAGTGCTTCCCATATTGCTTCATCATTTATGCTCTCTTCATCTCCAGGCATCAGGGCTCGACACATTCTGAAGATAAAACATGAGGCAATCAGGAACTTAATATAGAATAGCAGAGAAATAACTCTTCCAACTACAGAAACAGTTACAATAAAAGTCTACTTTCATTTATTTAAATCCAAATCAATGGTATTAGCTTCATATGCAGGAGAATATCTCAGTAGCATCACTTCTCAACTGAGGTATGTATAACGATGCAATCACGCACAATGTATAACAGCGGATATAATCTTTACCTGGCATTGTCCACAAGTATAGTTAATTCGAACGCCAATAAAGGGAGAAAAACAATCTTCAAGCTCACAGCTGGTGGCCAACGAGCTGCATCTCAAATACAACAGCAAAAAAAATTGCATTAAACCAGGATGAATAAAAGTAGGCTTCACACAGCAAGAAGGTACTGCAAACGCTTCACAAAGTCGTGGTTATATATATATATATATATATATATATATATATACCATGTGCACTCTCGAGGTATACACAGAGGAGCAATTCGAAAGCTACAAGCAAGGGCGTTGCAACAATAGCATGACATGGAGCCCACTGTACACCCAACCAAAAAGGCAATCATCAGAAGGTTAGCCTGATTAGCTACCAATTTCACTGGAGAGTGTGGATAAATTGAGACAAGAGGAAGAAGGGGACATACATGACGGTTACGAGGAGCGATAGGAGCAGGAAGAGAGAATCTTCCCCTCGAAACAACAGCATGGAAAGCCCACAAAGGTAGACACACAACCCTGCATAACCCGAAACAGCGGAACAGATAATGTTTTCTTCTGTATGAATGTTACGAATACCGAGAAATGGATAAGCAACCAAAAAAAAAAAAAAAAACAGAGAAGAATGTAAAAGCATGGCATGTGGCTAAATCTATATCTTCGAGTGTGATGTGTTCGCATGCAAGTATGTAAGAGCATAAAGAAAAAAGACACAGAGATTTGTTAACGAGGTTCGTTTCCTACATCCCCGGGACCACGTCCAGAACTCATTCACTAGAAAAGGCTGCAGCAAACCACTGCTATATGGTATCCAGCACACACCCGTGCCTACCACTCTAATCTAGAATTACAATGAAAATAAACTACCAACAGATCTGTCCATCTGTCTGGTAGGACGACGTCACACACATCCATGTGCATCTTCAATAAACTCTAAACGCGTGACGGCTTCATCTCACCATCTTGTCTCTTTATACTCCAATAA